TAACAGTCTGGTTGATCAGGCCCTGATCTACCGTGAGGCCTGGTCGTGGACCGGGCCGCGGGGGCGTTGATCCCCGGAATACCCTCCAGGTAGACTCCAGGTAGATCTGTAGCCGATTTCGCTGGCTTTTCTACCTTACTAACCCGGCCTTTAGCAGAAATTCCTTGTTGAGTGCCTGTTCAGCCAGGCTGTTGCTGTTAGCAGCCCTCAGGCCTACATAGCCATCATAACCTGGTTGCTCCGGCACTTGCTGGAGGGAATGATTCATCTTTTTCTTTAAGATTTCTTCATTCATTCCAGCAATATTTCCGATATCTAGTGGTAGCAAGTTGAAGAATCTTGGGCTACTGATGCTGACACACTACATATGGCGCCCCTGCTTTTAACTCGATTAATTTTACACTGCCTTCCAGATCTCCCGCTATAATAAGTTGATACAGTTTGGGGTCTGGCCCTCCAGTATCTTCCAAGTGTACATTATCAGATATCCCTCTCTTTCTCGCTCTATACGGGCGGTAAATATCTTTGTATATTTTCCAGCTTTGATATCTAGATCTGCCGATTCTAGATGTGAAAGCAAAAGTGATCTGACTAGTACCGTCATTAGCTTCATTTCTCTAACTCTGTGACCCCTCAAGGGAGGTTCCTTGACGCTGGTGAGGGGCTCCATTCCCCCATCCCCACTTGCGCTGTATAATCCTACGGGTTTAACGCTCCCCTATGATTATAATAATAATAATAATAATCTAACTTTGAGATTTGTCATTATCCTCCCTCACTTTTTTTTTTGTCTTCGTCGCATTTGTCTTATTGTATTCTCTAAACGACGTATCCGACATTATTATTCGCACGTTTTTTCTCCCAGTTCATATGATCTACATTTCTACAAGATGGCTCTTAAGCTCTGTACTACTTACTACCTGGAGGGTATTCCGGGATCAACGCCCCCGCGGCCCGGTCCATGACCAGGCCTCCCAGTGGATCAGGGCCTGATCTACTAGGTGTTACTGCTGGCAGCACGTAGTCCAACGTACGAACCACAGCCCGGCTGATATCTGATTGAGCTTTTTAAGTATCATCTGCTGAGGAGACTTTCGTACCTATTTTGGTATCGTCCTCCAAGGATGATACGAAGTTGTGGCTAGTGTTTTTATCCATGTCTGCCGTGAAGATGAGAAACAATTAAGATGCCAGGACTGAGCCTTGGGGGTTCTGAACTTTTTTTGCTTTGCTGACATTCCTCTTGAAGTTCTTTTTCATGGAAATTTGGATATCAGCATCACTCCTTTTCTTGTTGTTTGTTAACCTCTCATGGACTGTCACTGAATGGGGGACTTTTGTCAAATGCATTTGTAAAATCCACGTCAGCCAATCACATCTATGTTTTGGTTCTTTTTCAGTCTCGGTGATTTTGTCATAATGGTCTACAGTTGTGCCAAACAAGATCTTCCCGATATAAATCTATACTAACATGGATTTTGTAAGTCATGTTCGTCCATAATAACAGGAAGGTGTCATCATTACTGCTAGATGTGGTCATGCATGTAGTAGAAAGGGCCTAAAATGCCATGAACATATGTAAGAAAGACATATGTGTTCCTAGAACATTTAAAGGAACTTTTCGTCCACCGGGGATTTTAAACGACCCAATACAAGAAAAACAAACAGTAAAATGGGGGTCAGGAAACTATCCCCTAAATGAAACATGGGGGAGGATATCTTAAATTACAGGCCCAAACCAAATGTCAAAAAGACACCCTCCTGGTAGCAAATATTTTTAAGGGTTTAATTCCTATAAGACAAAAGAAAAAAAAATAAACTGGAGAGAGAGAGCGCTCCCCTCTACAGGAGAAAACGAAGAACCATTGACCCCTCAAAATGCCAGATTATCTGATAACGGAAGGTATGCTAACCAGGAAGTAAAAATATGGCGAAGTTAAAGGATCAACGGGACCCGGGGAGAGAAAGAGGAGCTAAAAGGAAAATGAAATTAAAAAAATTCAAAATATTTCTTTTCATACGCCAAAAACAAGTCAAAAACCACTTCTAGTATGGGGGCCCCCCTGCTCAGAAAAAATGGATCCTACACTGACGACAACAAAGAAATGAGCGAGTACGAAATTGCGTTGCTCAGTGTTCGCAAAGCCTAACCGTTTAAAGATAGACATCCAAAAAAATTTTGTCATAAATGAGCCTCAAAACCCCCCAATGTAGGCCAATTTGTGACTAATTTTAACCCACTAACTTTGAAAAAACCCATCGACGACACCCCATTCATCAGCCCCAGGCCCCCCACTCGTGGGAAATCGGTTCATTAAAAACTGCAAAAAATCCCTCTCACGGGGCCCCAAGTTTGCTTGGAGAAGGAGCTTTAACACAGGCGGGTTCCCCAGTCACTAAAAACAACGGGTATAGCCCCCCTCCATAAAATGGCAGCAAAGCAGTAGCTTTTAACGTCCCACATCGAAAAAACTTTGAAAGAGTATAAGAGCAGGATACAAACCACCTAACTCCCAAAAATTGCAAACCCAGGGGAACATGGTTTTTTGAGCGGTCGCTTTGCCTTCGCAATGCTTGACCACTGTGATATGGTCCCAGGCACTGGAAACAAACAGAAGCGGAGTAGTATACCAGCCCCCTTTCCCCCCCCCCCCAAACTTTACAAGTGCGATCATGGTGTAATAGCAAACAAAATGCGTGCTAAAGGGATAAACCCGGGAAAATAGGGAGATGGACTTCAAATTTCTAACCAAACGCACACAAAGAGAGTGGTAAACAAGTTTAAAACAGATGCTGCCATAGTGAAACTCTGTCCCACAAGCACATACTAGCACCCATCCTGTTCCTTTTCTCATATCAGCATAGACAGAGATGTAAACCACACGCTGTATCATCTTTTGCAGACATACTAGGGTCGCAGAGTATGCATCCCCTGAGGACAGGCAAAGCTCCAAGAAGATATAAAACCAAGTTTTCCAATGGGCAACAGAGAACAATATAATGTTCAAAAAGAAGGGCAAATCCGTTATGGGAAAACTGGAGGAAAAATAACTAAACTGAGAATACTAACTCCAATCACCAATAAAGGAAAAGTAAAGTAAGGACCTAGGTGTGGTAATGTCCAAAACCTCACCTTCAAGGACCACAACAAAAGCCACTACCACATCTGCTAGGAAACTGAAGGGGAATAAAGAGAAAATTCAAGACAAGAGATGCAAGCCAAAATGATCCTTTTAAATCATTTATTCTTTTTAGGCTGGGAAAAATGTACATTAAAACCCCATTCAAGGCGGTGAAATTGCAGAAAAAGAATGTACAGAGACCTTTTTTCACATATAAGTTCCATCAAACACCTTAACTACTGGGAGCGCCTGGAAACACTTGACTTGTACTCACTAGAGCGCAGGCGAGAGAGATATATCATAATCTACACCTGGAAGATTCTGGAGGGACTGGTCCCTAATATGCACACAGCAATCACTCCATACGAAAGCAAAAGACTTGGCAGACGATGCAACATACCCCCAGTGAAAAGTAGGGGAGTCATTGGTACACTAAGAGAAAACACAATAAGTGTCCGGGGACCAAGACTGTTCAACAGCCTCCCACCAGCAATAAGGGGCATAACGGGAAGACCCCTGGTTGTCTTCAAGAGGGTGCTGGACAGATACCTAAAGACGGTGCCGGATCAGCCGGGCTGTGGTCCGTACGTTGGATTACGTGCGGCCAGCAGTAACAGCCTCGTTGATCAGGCCCTGACCCACCGGGAGGCCTGGTCGTGGACCGGGCCGCGGGGACCTTGATCCCCGGAATGCCCTCCAGGTAGGTAGACTCCAGGTAGGGCTAGCGCAAGGTCGGGCTGCGGGAGTAGGAAAAATCTCGAAACCCATCAAAGGTATATTAAAGACATTAAAAGTGCTGCATGGGCTGGAGGACAGTGCTAAATAATGGTTGTGATCTGCTTAGGTAGGATGTACTAGGCAATTACTTCTAAGATCACATAAATGCTGGTTTTGAGTAGCTTAGGCCAGTAGGTGACTTGGACCTGCCTAGCATGGGCCAGTAGGCCTGTTGCAGTGCTCCTTCTTTCTTATGTTTTTATGTTACAGCCCAGTTGATCAGGGCCTGATCCACCGTGAGGCCTGGACACAGACCAGGCCTCACGGTGGATCAAAGTGGATCACGGTGGACCAACGCCTCACAGCATTGATCCCCGAAAGAACCCTCCAGGTAGGTAGACTCCAGGTCGACAGGAAGCAGCGATGAGGGACAGATCAGCACAACGTCTGTGAAGTAGGTTTGACTGATGACATTCCTGGGATTTTGGAGGTTCTTGGTGTATAGTGATCAGCCCATCAACTAGGCTGCCTGGTTTTGGACCGGGCTGTGGGGGCGATGACTCCTGGAATCATCTTCAGATAACTTTCAGGTAACTCAGATTCTCCTGAAAATTCATTCTTCATCCTTTCTACCATTTATTCACTCAACAGGACAATACTCTCGGGGCACTTTGTCTTCAGTCTTACAAGTCAGAGATTTTTTCACTCTATCTTTCTGTATGAGTAACATTTAAGATTCGATCAAAACACTCATGGTTATTCATCCTTACTGCTTAAGCTCGAATTTGTTTTACATTTGTACATTTGAGTTGTATAATATACATCCATGGATGCCTTCTGATAGTAGTAGTCATACTACTTATAACAGGAATATTAATAATCTTTGGTACATGACTTATCAAAAAGTTATCATATGACTACCCTACTGCATCTTTATCTCTCCTTGTAATCTTCATTTGTTATTTTTTGGCCTAAATGACCAATCATTAATCCCACAGTTTTCTGTTCTAGTACTTTAATCTGAACTATATGTTCAGAACTAAAGGTAGTTAGTTCTTAGCAGATCGCCTTGATACAGACCCGAAGGCCTCCTGCAGTCTACTTTTCGCATGCATTTCTAATATATAATGAAAGTTTTTTTTTTTATGTTTGGCAGGTGTTGGTGAGATATGCAGCGCGGGCAGTCAACAGGAGCTGGAAGCGAGGCTTGTCGTCTCGTTGCAAGCTTACGTGCCATCCTGGGCTCCAAATCCTGTTCCGAGAAATCCCGTTCTATCTCCGGCAAAGAGAAGTCTCCCACTCCCAACTCTTGTCCTGCTCACCCGCTTCCACTTAACGACAATAACAAAAGCAGTAATAACAAGAGCCACAGATATCCCAAATCACCTTTCGTAGGTTGGAGAAAATTAAAATTGAAAGAGAGTTACGAAACTAAAGAAAACAGGAAGCCGAAATACGTCCAAGGGACTGATAAAGTCGGAAGCTGTTCCCAGTCACAAATAGAAAGAATTAGCTTACACAGCCCTGGGAATGACACCTCAACCTTGGCAGCTGTACGAGACATAAGATCGGAACAATCTACCTATTTACAGGGCCAGGAGCACAAATGCAATACCAGCCGCACGGAAATTCCTAGCAACTCCAGTCAGTCAGAATCTAATACTGATGCCGTTGAAATAAACGCCAAGGTGAGAAAAACGGATCTTAGGAGTTCAAACAAATTTGAAAAGACGGAGAATAGTGAGAAAAGTACCATAAGTAGTGCCGGAAACCACAGTCATAATAATGTTGCAAAAAGTGCCAGCAGTAGTTCAGAAAGCACGCCGGTCAGCGGTGTCAACATTCGTAGCACTTTACAAGACACATGTGTGATAGAGAGCGATGAAGAGAGGAATATAACTGAGAAGGAAACCCGGGGTCAAGGGGACGGCAGTGACAATCAGTCCATATGTTCTGAGCGCAAACTGGGAAACGATATATGCACTAATTATTTAAGAGATATGTATAAAAAGGGTAAACCTAGTAATGGTTGTGAAACTCTTAATGGGCCCCTGGAATTAGACCGGGAACTGTGGTTGAAGTCTGCCTTGAGTTACAACTTACAAATTCCTGAAACTCCAAGAAACGAAGTTGTGGTGCTAGCTTTGGGTATTGACCAGTACGTCGAGGAAGTGTTCAGGTATCTGGATCACTCCGGGACAGGGAGGGTAAGTGTTCACGACATGAATGCTTTATGTCACTTATTGGGATTTCCGGAGGATGGCGAAAAACAACGATCACAGAGATGCCATTGCGCAGGCTCAAATTTGACGCTTCATGGATCCCTCGACAGGTCATCGCTGGACATAAACAAGTTCAAGGACAGTGAGTGCCCTGTGCATCTTGGATTTACCGAGTTCCAAAAAAAGTTGTGTGCAAGGTTCATCCGCGCGGCCAAGTTAGAGAGCATCTTACCGCTGCGCTGCCGGCGACCTAATAATCCCCGGTTGGTGACATCAGTGGTCAGTGTGCAGCGTCGCTACAAAGTGCTGGAGACCATCTCGCAGAGCATGGCGCAGATGGATGCCAAGCTGGATAGCGACGAGGTGAGAATGAATGACGAATGTGATACCTCAGGTGTCGTCTGCTCAAAATGTCGACAAACGACTCACGTAGACCGTAACTCCAACATTTCTCCACAGCCTTCGGATTCTGAAATTTCTTACCTACATCGACAGATTCTTCTACAAGAGAAGGAGCTACAGTGTTTACGAGAGGTTATTGAAGACATGCGTATTGCCCTACAAAGCTCCGATGCTGAAAACCTGGCACTGCAGGTTAAGATTAAAAGAGCTGAAGAATCTACTCAGGTCGATTTGTCGCTCACAGATGAAGAAGACACCATCGACAACCTTGTGAGGCAATTGAGTGAACTTGACCGCCAAGCCTTAGTTACCAAAGCTGAGACACCTGTATCGTCCGTCCCAACACAGGGGCTCAGGCAAGGGCAGCCTGAAAGCGATTCCTCAGCAAACAATGAATCTAAAACTTCAGAGGCTGTAGAAGGTCAACTTAGTCACAGGTTCCACATCTGGGGATTTGTCATTAGAAGCTGAACTGCAGGCTACCTATGAAGCGCTGCAGGCAGCAAAGGAAGAACAAGAAGCAATGCAGGTTGACCTACAACGAACAGTAGGGCAGCTGCAAGGGCGTGAGTCTGACCTGCGAGAAGCTGAACTCAGACTTCGCACTGCTCATTCCGCGCTAGAGAAAGCTCATCACGATAATCACGAACTTGTCATGGAGATCGCGGAAACACGCCAAGCACTACAAGAGAGCGGCAGCAAACTGACAGAGGCACAAGAGGATCTGTGCCAGGCTAAAGACAACATTGCAGTTAAGGAGTCGCAGCTGAAAGAGGCGCAGGGAACGATAACCCTGCTAAGAAACTTCAGGTAAGTCGCTACCTTTGTACTAAAGTTACAGTTTCTAACACGCAAACATCACAACCTCTCACTTAGAAATGTTTGTGCCTCCTGCCAACAAACACAGTCTAACAAATTCATTCGCTCTGAAATGTTTGATATGCTAATGTTTCATGCCATAAACACTCGCTAACAAATCACAGGTAACTCACAACTAAACTTGAAGCTAAACGACTTTTCGGACCCGTCCTGAACTTGGACCGAAACAGCACAGCAATAAAAAAAAGAACGCAACTACAACAGCATTAGTAGCAACAACCACATGCAACACAAACAACAAAACTATATACAACAACAACAACAAAAACTACACAAAACAAAGCAAGACTACACAATAAAAGCACAAAAGCTGAATGAAGAAAAAGTGAGTTGCAGCAAACACCAAACAAACAAACACCAGGAATTACTATATTCACAGGAAGCGCTATATCCGTAGGGAAGGGTCGAGAGCACGTCACCAGCATCAAGGCTCCCTCTTCCTTAATGGCGCAGCTCTGCAAAACACGATTATTATTATTATTATTATTATTATTATTATTACACATTTAAGAGAAGGAAGGATTGGTGGATGCTCCATCTTCCATCCGCCCCGAAATGCAGTGCATAACTATGGTCCTCTTATTATTAAATAACCACACACACACACACACACACACACACACAACACACACACACACACAACTATATATATATATATATATATATATATATATATATATATATATATATATATTATATATATATAACAAACACTAATCTCAGGTCGAAGGAGACTCGAACCTACGAACCCTGGAACAAGGTACGCAGTGCTCTACCACCGTACCACACTGGTCCAATACCTTGGCGCCCAGCTAACGCTAGACGTTTTGGTCCAAGGTAGCCAGCCTTCAGGCATGTGGTTTTGTCATGCCAAAGAGGTGAAACTGGTCAATTAGCAAGAACTCATTTAAAATTAAGTCCTTTCTAAAAATTTCTCTTATACATTTAAAGATATATTTTTTTTCATTTATGTTAATGTAAAAATCGTATTAATGTTGGTAGAATTACCGACAAAATGTTAGGTAAGAGGGCACACATGTGCAACTAATGTGAAATTTTATAGTGGCAACGTTTCGCTCTCCAGGAGCTTCATCAAGCCGTTACGTAACGTCTAGATAAAGCTCCTGGAGAGCAAAACGTTGCCACAATAAAATGACATCAATTGCACTTGTGTCCTTTTACCTAACAATGTAAAAATTAAATAATTTTGTGCCAAAAGAACCTTCGAAAACTTGCCTAATCTTATTATAACAAGCGCAATTTAATTTAGCCTAATGCAACTAAATATATTTTAGATAAGTTTACAATAATTTAATAATAAACAAAGGCAATGAAATATATTTTTTTCGTTAGGTTCAGAATGATTTTTGCGAAAGTTATTGCATACACAAACTTTCGCTTGTGTTATTCGGTAAGAAGAGCGTTGGTATTTAAGCCATAAAATCGCGTTTTACCTATTCGGCACGAATATATATATATATATAATAATTATAATATATAGATATATATATATATATATATATATATATATATAATTATACAAAACAAGAAGATATAGTACTGAGAGGTTCATCTTGTATGGCGGAACAAGGAGACGCTGTGTGTTGCTTCTAACAAGCACTTACAACTGCAACGGAAAGCACTATCTTCTTAAACTGAGGAATGTCAGCGACGATGATTCTGATCGTCTCTACGACAGCAGCATTACTAAGCAGAAAACAAATTTTGGGGTGTATTATTATTATTATTATTATTATTATTATTATTATTATTATTATTATTATTATTATAATTTACGTGTAGCATTAAAGCCTTGTGAACTATTCAGCGGAAATTATCCGGTTGAGAGAAATGACGCTTTGGTTGGCACAAATGATTCTTTGGTTGACGGAAATGACGCTTTGGTTGACGGAAATGAAGCTTTGGTTGACGGAAATGACGCTTTGGTTGACGGAAATGACGCTTTGGTTGACGGAAATGAAGCTTTGGTTGACGGAAATGACGCTTTGGTTGACGGAAGTGACGCTTTGGTTGACGGAAATGACGGATCAGAAGTGAAATTGAACGAACATAATATAAACTGCCTGGGACTGACAGTGCGACATAATGACTGATAACTTTCGCTGCGTAACTGACCAAAGAGTGGCATTTAGTGCCATTATGTCCTAACAACAAGTGACAGAACACCCGCGGCGATAATTGACGTGTTGATTACAGCATTGATGACTATAATTGATGGACGACCATCATGGTGAAGAGAAATTACGGTGTGACTGGCGAATCGTGAATTGATACTTGATTTATGTCGCGATTAGAGGGGTTAATTTTTGTAATTGATGTTTGGATGTGATTAGGTTAGGTAAGGTTCGTGATTGTTTTTGGTAAGGATACATTTGGTTGATGATAGGCGCAGGTTGGTGATAGGTGCAGGTTAATTATAGGTACAGGTTGATGATAGGCGCAGGTTGATGATACGGGAGAAAATGTAAACCCAGCGAAAAGCAGGGAGCGCCGTGGGCACAATAAGAGAACATTGTATCGATATCCGTGGGGTCCTTGATCTGCATTCCCTCGAACGCAGGAGAGAGAGATACATGATAATATTCACTTGGAAGGTCCTGGAGGGATTTGTACCAAACCTGCACACAAAAATCACTCCCTCTGAAAGCAAAAGACGCGGCAGGAGATGCAACACTCCCCCGATGAAAAGCAGGGGCGCCACGAGTACACTGAGAGACAACACAATAAGTGTCCGGGGCCCAAGACTGTTCAACTGCTTCCCAGCATACATACGGGAGATTACCAATAGACCCCTGGCTGTCTTCAAGAAGGCACTGGACAGGCACCTGAAGTCAGTACCTGACAGCCTGGTTGATCAGACCCTGATCCACCATGAGGCCTGGTCTCAGACCTAGCTGCGGGGGCGTTGACCCCCGAAACCTTCTCCAGGTAAACTCAAGTGCCGGATCAGTCAGGCTGTGATGGATACGCGAGCCAGCGGACCGCCAGTAGCAGCGGCCTTGTTAACCAGGCAAGTGCCAGACAAGTCACAGTAGCAAGTTGATAATGATGCAGTAAATTGGATAATAACAGAAAGACATTGAAAGTGTAACTAAATAACCAAACTGTTCATGTTCTTTGCAAACAATGTAAAGGTTCTAGTTCTTTGCAAAACAAAACAAGCGTTCTAGTACTTTGTAAATAAAATAACGGTTCTTGTGCTAAGCAAACAAAAGAGCGTAATGGTTGGTGGCGGTTACGAAGCTTGACTGGTGAGCGCTCAGGATGGAACTCAAATTAAACGAGGTTAAACGCAGCTCACTGTTTAGCAACGGTACATACTGTTTAATGCATATAGCGCATTTTTTCACTGTTATAGAATTTCCCAAGGAGATTTTAGCACAATTCAGACATTATACTTACAAGAGCTTGTATATCTGTCAGTACATATAGACGCTGAGATATATATTGCTCGGTATATATACATTGAGAGTTGAATATCTCTCGGTGTATATGCAGCGAAAGTTGTACATCTTTAAGTGCAATATATACTGAGTTTGCTTTAGTTACTATTGTATATATTGGAATATTATTGACGTCAGTATGCAAGCAAACTGACCTACTTACATTTGACTGACCTTGTACCTAACAAGCTAAAGTCTATTTTGTTCTACTTCCCATGCTCGGTCTCTTCAACATGACTGAACCAGTTCACATTTTTCCTTTTCCGTTTCTTGAATTGCGCCTTCCACACCAATGCATTGTCTTCTAATGTCTCTTCTTATCGGTTGGCTCAGGGAGTTGAAAGTATTCTGAATACGCGAGAGACATTAAGTCTTCGTGTAACCTCAAATACTATTTCTCCAAGTTTGATGGACTGGACTGCAGCCAGCAGTAACAGCCTCCTTGATCAGGCCCTGATCCCCAATTAAAAGTAGGGGCGCCATTGGTACACTAAGAGAAAACACCATAAGTGTCCGGGGCCCAAGACTGTTCAACAGCCTCCCACCATGCATAAGGGGAATTATCAATACATCCCTGGCTGCCTTCAAGAGAGAGCTGGACAGATACCTAAAGTCAGTGCCGGATCAGCCGGGCTGTGGTTCGTACGTTGGACTGCGTGCGGCCAGCAGTAACAGCCTGGTTGATCAGGCCCTGATCCACCGGGAGGCCTGGTCGTGGACCGGGCGGCGGGGGCTACCTGGAGGTTACCTGGAGGTTATTCCGAGGATCAACGCCCCCGCGGCCGGTCCATGACCAGGCCTCCCGATGGATCAGGGCCTGATCAACTAGGCTGTTACTGCTGGCCCGGAATACCCTCCAGGTAGACTCCAGGTAGATTACATCATCTTCATTTCACTACTACACCTGCTACCTCTGTATCTGATGACTGAAGAAACCTACTGTGTACCTGGTTACCTGGAGGTTACCTGGAGGTTATTCCGGGGATCAACGCCCCCGCGGCCCGGTCCACGACCAGGCCTCCCGATGGATCAGGGCCTGATCAACTAGGCTGTTACTGCTGGCCGCACGCAGTCCGACGTACGAGCCACAGCCCGGCTGATCCGGCACCGACTTTAGGTATCTGTCCAGCTCTCTCTTGAAGGCAGCCAGGGGTTTATTGGCAATTCCCCTAATGCTTGATGGGAGGCTGTTGAACAGTTTTGGGCCCCGGACACTTATGGTGTTTTCTCTTAGTGTACCAATGGCGCCCCTACTTTTTATTGGCGGCATTTTGCATCGCCTGCCCAGTTTTTTTACTTTCGTAGGGAGTGATTTCTGTGTGCAGATTTGGGACCATTCCTTCCAAGATTTTCTAAGTGTAGATTATGATATATCTCTCCCTCCTGCGTTCCAACGAGTACAAGTCAAGTGCTTCCAAGCGTTCCCAGTAGTTAAGGTGCTTGACAGAACTTATACGTGCAGTAAAG